TGGGACCATACAGCTAGTCAATGGCAGAGCCTAAATGTAAAACCATGGGCATCTGGTCAACCAGCTGTTCACAACCAGCATTCCCTTCTCACCATGAGAATCCATGGCGCTGCAAGCCCTCAGGGATGGTCTACTCTATGCCATCAGGCACCTGTGGGGCCAAAGCGGGGGCAGAAAAATGTGCAGAACAAGGACAGATGGAGTTAATCATGCAGAAAAGAGCACCTCCTGCTGCAACCTGCCCGTCAAGCCAGGCCAAACCATGTCCCAGGCAATTTCCTGGGCAGCCTTCGGAGAGGCACCCAGCCCGAAAAGCCAGCCAATGAAGCGTTTCATTCTCTGCAGCCTGTCCTCACAAAAGACAAGCCCAGACCGACCCAATGTGGACAAATGAATAGTTCTATTCTCTCTGAGCAGCAGTCTAATTTCCTTCCAATTTTAAAGTCTCCACAATTTCCTAACAGGCCTCTGTGGTGCTCATGTACAATAGAAATTAATAAGTTCAAAATGTACCCAATTTGCTTTCATTATTATTATTATTATTATTATTATTTTTGCCATGCAGTGGATTGACTTTTCATTATCACTCAAGGATTTTTCTGTATCTGATTCTTTTAGAAGGTCATGTCCACTGGGCTCAGACACTGGGTTGAGAACTGAATCAGGTCTGATGGACTTAACGGAGGTCTGAGGGAAGTCTCATTGATTAAGAGTTGGTGCCTCCACTAATCAGGTGGGGCAGGTACAAAAGGTAATAATATACATACATAGGAAAAGGAAAAGGGACTCAGGGCAGGTAGAGAGATGCAGCCCCACAGCCGGCCTGCTCCAGGATGCTGAGCAAGTGTCGGGGTCTCTCTGTGAGCTAGATGTCTTATCTGTGAGACAGGCAGAGAGAAGTAAACTAAACTCGATTTAACGTCTACGTCTTGAATCACTACAACATGCATCAAAGACAGTCTTTAAATTTAATCCACACAGCAACCCTGGAAAGCTTATATTATTTTACAGATGAAGACAGCGAGGCTCCCGTAATTGGTGATTCCATTATATTGTCACTAAATCACTTGCTTGTGTACCATTAAAGGGAATGTAAACTGTACAGCCGCTAAAGAAAAGAGTATGGAGGTTCCTTAAACAGTTATAGAGCTACCATAGCATCCAGAAATCCCACTTCTGGGTATATAAAATCAGGATAGCAAACTGATATCAATGCTCCTCCAATTTCACTGCAGCATTATTCCCAATAGCCAAGATATGAAAACAGCCTAAGTGCCTGCCCACAGATGGAAGGATATCAGCGTATATGTGAATGCAATGGAATTCTATTCAGGCACGAGAAAGAAGAAAATCCTGCCATTTGCTACAATATAGATGGACCACGTTGAGGGTATTATGCTCAGTGAAATAAGCCACAGAGATAGACAAATACTGCATGGTTTCACTTATATGTAGGTTCTTTTATATGGCATCACTTATATGTGGTATCACTATTATGTGGAATCACTTATATCGCATATATGTTATCACTTATATGTGGATTCACTTATAAATGGAATCAGGTTTGAAAGCCAAACTCACAGACACAAAAAAGTAAAATAGAGGTGACCAGGAGGGTAGGGGACATAGGGCGATGTTGATCAAAGGGGGAAAAGGTTCAGATATAAGATGACTAAGTTTGGGGAATCTAATGCATAGCATGATGACTATAGTTAATAACACTGAGTTTGATACTTGAAAATTGCTAAGAGAGAATATCTTAAATGTTCTCACCACACAAACACATACACATAGTGGTAATTATGTGATGTGATGGATGTGTTAGGTAAGGCTATGGTTTAATCATTTTACAATAGTATACTTATCAAATCAATACACTATATACTTTAAACTTACACAATGTTATATGTTGATTATATCTCAAGATGAAGAAAAGAATTTTAAATTATAGAATATTAATTGAATAGGAAGGCATTCGTCCACTTAATCAGTTGCAGAACAGTATTTAATAAAATGGTGTATTTTCATTTTTTAGTGGAAAAAGTAAATTATAATATTGACTCTAAAGTAGGAAAAAAGTAGAATAATGAGTGGAAGGGAATACACTAAAATGTTACCAGAAGCTCTAGGGATAAGAAAACATTTTTCATACTTTCCTTGGTGCTTTGCTATATTTTTCACATTTCCTACAATAAACACTTATTATTGTCAAAATCTGGAGCTACATAATACAAATTATTTTAAATCCCTGCATTTATATACAAAATGGAATCATGCTTTTTTATTTAAACAAATGACACTTTACATAGAAATTTTTCTAAGGGAGAAGTGGAAATCACAAGAAAAAACAAATAAACAAAAATAATACAAATGGAGCCATCGCCCCCAAAGCTTCTAGCTCACTTCACAGGCTAAATTGGAAATGCAGACCGGTGGGAAAGGGGTGGGAAGGGACAGAATACAAGAGCAGTTGATAAGGGGGAGAGGGGGCTAGAGGCTGCAGTTGGCTTCATGGAGTGATGGAGCTGGCAGATATGAATTTTCCAATTTTATGAGAACGATAGGGATCTGAAATAAATCTGTATTTTTCTTTTTAAGATAAATGTTTTAAAATAAGCGCTTGCAGCATAGATGGATGGCTAGTGCCTGTGTTCCGCCTTAGTGCTAATCATAAATAACATGGAGAAAAATAGCTCTGGCCATTTTAAAAAGCATCTTTATTTTTTGCTCTTAAGAGCTCAGAAGATTATAGTTTGATGCATTAAGCAAGATTTTTTTTTTTTTTTTAATACAGCGGCAACTATCAGGGGTAATACAGAAATTGCCTTCAGATGAAAATAACGAGTCGGGGCTTGGTTTAGAAGTTAAACCTTCATTTCGAGATGTGCCGGGAAACCCATGGGCACATATGATGGTTTGAACACAAATTCAAGTTTAATGGCATCTGGTAGGTTTGTGATTTAAGGAAAGCCTTTGGTGACGCTTCAGGTAAAACTGATAATTGTCTTTGAGGCCTACCCCCAAAGAAGGTAAGTGATCTTCTGTAAATCCAAACGTTCAAAGATCAGATTTGCTTGACATGGTTCTACTCCACCCCCACCCCCACCTCCCCATCCCCATTTTGGTCTGTACATTGGAAAGCATATCAATGGACTGCGGGACAGTTTTTCAACCACTTTCATTTCCTAGCTCACTAAATGATGAAACAGGCTACACTGAGGGCAAACATAACAATCAGACACACCCCTCATCCCTCAAAGAGCTAACTAGCCTCACTACACTAACGTGGCTTAACAGCACCCATTTGCTCACCATTTACAGTGTCACTGGTTTACTCTGCTGTGTTTTAAACAGGGACCACACAATGGGATGGGGAGGTGGCTGAGAGGGCCTGCTGGGTGGAAGGAGCTCTGCACAGGGCTGTGGGGTAGAAGAGGTGGGGGGAGCCAGGAGCACATGGCATGTCTGGAGAGGGAAGTTGCAACTCGGCTCTGCATTCTGACCTGATTCATCAACATAAACCAGGATCCTCCTTTTTTTAGGCTCAATCTCCCAATCGCTAAAGGTTATGTCTGATTTTTTTAAGCACACAGTGTATGCCAAACCCAACGTGTTCCTAACCCAAGCGTTTTTTTGCTAGTGTTTGTTTTAAAATCTCATTTCCGGGGATTGTTAAGAATTGCTGATTAACCCCAATACCGTTTAGTTATGTCCAAGAAAGTGATGAGTTGGAAGTCTCAGGCTGGCAGAGGGGTTGGGGAAGACACCTCGTCTTTTGTGGAAAACTCAGCGTGGGATTTATCCTTCCCAGCAGAATCTGGTTGAACTGAGACTCAGGATGGCAGGAGGATGAGTAGAAATGTTGCAACTCCACACACCATGGAAGCCACAGGCAGGTGGCCGAGGTGGTTATCATTCAACATAAAATCAAGATAAAGCCTTCTTCTGAGAGCGCCCATGCTCTGCAAGAATGCCTATGGGTTTATCTTCACATAAGGCCGAATTTACCCAATTTAACCCTCCCCTAGCTCCTCACTTTATAATATTCTGTAATGAAAAAAGGCCCTTCACAAAGCTTATCTCTTCAAAGTGCAAAAGAACCAATTTTTTTTTTTTTTCTGCCCAAGGAGCTCATAATGTAGCAGACAAACTGTCAGAAAAAATAGACTTCATCATGGTGAAAACCTCAGCCCGGCACCCATCTATCATAAAGCAATCTTCTAGAAATCTTGAAAACCTTCATTAAATTTCCTGTCTGTCTTCTGACAGTTATAAAATGTTAACAATATTACTCATGATGCAGGCATCTTCAGGAATTCTTTGTTCAGTCTCTCCACCCCCTGCCATCACCCATTCCCTTCTCTTTTGCCAAAAATGGGTGGAAACATGAGACATGGCCGTACTCTTCGCACCCCCCTGGGACCTGGACTTTGCAGGCCAGAGAGGAAGGAGTCATAGGCTTGAAGACAATGAGAAGGCTCTCTGCCCACATGCTACCCACTGCAAAATGGCACTGCCTTTGGGTTCCTCCTCCAAAAGCAACACCCACTTTGAAGCTCAAGGGCACGGCTCTGTCCTACATTTAGCAAATATTTCCTAGCGTTTTCTCTTTCCTTTTCCTCTTGCCAATCTACTGAGCTACAAGTTTTCACCTGACCAGGATATATGGGTAATGGGTCATCTTTCTAGAGACGATTCTCCTATGGAACTTACTGGCCCGACTTTTCCAACTTCCAGGGACCCCTTCAGCAATACACCACCTCTCAGAAGAAGAATCAATAAGCATCTTGCATGGGAAGTGACACCAAGGACAAAAACTACATGGAGATACAGAATCCACACCAGAAATCAGAAGAGGTGGACAGCTTTGGAATAGCAGGCTGACCTCTAAGATGCACAGCATAGAGACAGCAGCTATAAAGCTGAAGCCTGGGCCTTGTGAGGTCCCCAGCTCATCTCCACGGCGAGCCCAGCCCAGCCAGGCTAAGCCATCGCCTTACCTGCGAAAGGAACCGGTGCGTCTTTGTCCAGAGCGACCAGCGGCGGGTCCAAAATGACTGTATCGTTGTTCTCAGTAATGACTCCATGATACGATGTCTCGATCCATGGCTTGTGCTTGTTGACTAAGGGAGGAAAAAAGATTGACATTTAAGGTCATCATTTGAATAAGTAATCCATAATAATAATAATAATAATAACATTAATATTGTATATGTATCTAGTCCTAGGCTCTCATTCAACCACCTTAAAGGATGTTAAGTCTCATTTTATAGCCACAGACGCTCCAGAGAAGTAAAGAGGTGCAACAGTTCACTCCAGGCACACAGAAAGTGAGGCCAGCACCGAGAAGCAAACACACTTTATGGCTGTAAAAGGTCATGGTTTACCTGACCACAACCCCATTATTTCTCTTTTTGATAGAAATTGTCAAAAATTGATTAAAAGCTTCCATTCTCACAACTACCATCTATTAATAGATGTTTCAGAGTTTAAGTCCATGATCAATCAACAGACTAGCAGAATATGTCTGTGTGGTAGAATGTCTAACCATATTTCTGACTTCAGCCTAATGTGACCCACAATTAGAAACGGGTACGGCATTTCATATACATACATGTACGTATAAGTACCAACATATCTATAAAGATTGAACAAACATTTGAATATTTCCTAATCATTTAAAGACCCTGTTATCTAAATTATCTAAATTATCCAACAATTTAAGTTTCTCTTCAATATATTGACTAGATCAGTAGCCGGCAAACCTTGGCTCTCGAGCCACTTGAGTGTGGCTCTTCCACAAAATACCATGTGCAGGCATGCACATACAGTGCAATTGAAACTTTGTGGCCCATGTGCAGAAGTTGGTTTTCGGCCTGCGCGAGTCTATTTTGAAGAAGTGGCCTTAGAACACTCAAGGGGCCAAAGAGCCACGTGTAGTTTGCCGACCACTGGACTAGATAAATGATATATTATCTAATGAACAATTAATAACTTAAAATACATATTAAATATACATTACTGGTTGAATTGTATCCCAAAAAACATAGGTTGGGGTTCTAACTCCCTGTACCTTGAACTATGACTTGTTTGGAAATAGGGTCTTTATGGAGGTAATCAAGTTACAATGAGGCCATTAGGGGGGGAACCAATCTAAAATGACTGGTGTCTTTATACAAAGGGAACATTTCAGCACAGAGATAGACATGGGTACGAAGAGAGCGCAATGGAAAGACTGGAGTTGTGCTGTCACAAGTCAAGAAGCCACTAGCAGCCAGGAGATAGTGTTCTGAGCAAGTATGGCCCTGCTGACAAGCTGGTTTGAGACTTCTGGCCTCTAGAACTGTGAGACTATACATTTCCGTTTTCCTCAGCCGCCTAGTCTGTGGTACTTAGTGAAGGCAGCTCTAGAAAATGAATACAAGACACTTACAGTCAACAGTGACTAATGAAGGGTCTACAATTACAATGAGATGTGCCCTTAGTAGTGTAATATTCTTGTGTGAGAAGCATAACTGATGAATATTCCATTTCTGCCAACTCCATCACCTTTATTTGGTCCTGGCCCCACTATCTCCTATCCAGATAGCAGCCATGACTGGCTTTCAAGTAAGAAGTCTTGCCCCACCCTAATTTTACACACTGGCATCCTGAGTGACCTTTCTAAAATGTTAATCAGTTTACTCAACTCTGAGTGCCTCAGTTTGACCTTTTATTCCCCACGTAATCTCGGGTGCAGAGTAGGTGCTTTAGAAACAAAAAACGGGTACAGGGAGCTCTAAAATAATCAACAGGATCTTGATGCCAAACCTCATCCCCTGCTTCACAGTTTATAAGTGTCATCAGCCCTAGCTGGTTTGGCTCAGTGGATAAAGCATTGGCCTGCGGACTAAAGGGTCGCAGGTTTGATTCCAGTCAATGGCATGTACCTTGGTTGCAGGCACATCCCCAGTAGGAGGAGTGCAGGAGGCAACTGATCAATGTTTCTCTCTCATCGATGTTTCCAACTCTTTATCCCTCTCCCTTTCTCTGTTAAAAAAAATCAATAAAATATATATATTTTAAAATAAATAAAAGTGCTATCACACACATAATGCTCCACAAAACAACCTGAGAGGTAGATGTGATTATTATAAACCAATGAAGACACTACTTCCATGGGTGTGACTTTCCAAGATGACCACAGCATTAATAACCAATAGTTGAGAAAAACAAAAACTCTTCCATACTCCATATCCAAAAAGCACACACACACACATTCATATTGTTATACACATTCTAATATATAACACCCATTTTAATATATACATATATTAAAATGGGTGTTGTTATATAATGGGTTTTATATATATATATATAAATTAAAATATATGTGTGTGTGTGTGTTTTAATATATATTTTTCAGTAAACATGGCAAAGCAAGAGCTTCTAGATTTGAGAATGGTCTCACTGCAATGGCTCTTGTTCCTCAACATGAGCCACATTTGTGTTCCTTCTCACCTATTTCACAGCTTTTATGAACTAACCCAGAAGTAGTTTAGTGGGGCAGGGACCCATGCCTTGCTATGCTCAGGTCTTGTCCACTAGTGTTCATTTCTGCTGATTGAATCATTCCCAGGGCAGACAGCAGCTCTGTCTAAAGCAGGTCTGAAAGGGGCCACATACTCATCCATGCTCACTGGTTGGTATTTAATCCGGTGCTTCATTATGGGCCCAAAATAATTACAGCAACCTGGGGTGTCCCCACTCCTTTGCTTTTTTATTAGCCATCGCCACAAATGCGATGTAAATAATTTGCAGCTGTTGAGAGAAATAATCTTTTTTCCCCCTTTCATTAAAGCTACTCATTAGAAATATGGCCAGAGAATATGCCAGGAGCTTACCCAGTGTTTCAGATTCATTGTGCCACTTGGCTCAGTGGCAGACCACAGAATCCAGTCACAGTTGCTGGGTTTCAGCCACGACTTAGCCACTTTGGGGCTGGTCCTTTGCAAACCAGTTGGCCACAAAAGACTTTTTACTTTCCCACCTGTAAAATGGGGAATACAACACCACTCACGGGGTTGTCATGTCACTTGGATGGGCTGGGCACACACTGTGATGTTCCATTACTCAGTCCCACTAATCTGCTCTCTGGGCAGCTACAGTGTCTGCAGGAGAGGTGATTATAGACCTTAAAGGTGAGGTTCCGCCCCCTTTTAGTGGGAATGGGTTTCTTTCCTTCTATCTACAGCCTGCCTCTCTTTTCTCTTGTCACTACTACAGCTATTTGAATACCTATCACATATTAGACATTTTGCATGCATTCATTAATCCTCACAACTTTATTAGCATATCATTTTGCAGATAGGAACTGAGGCTCAGCATGGTTTAAATGTTCCCATTTTAGAAAATATGAATGTAACATCCCTAAAATGTTCTCATGTCTTTCCCACTTTGATTATATATATTTTTTAAATCTTCACATAAGGACATACATGTTTTTATCCTCACTGAGGATATGTTTTTATTGATTTTAAAGAGATAAGAAGGTTAGAGGGTGGGGGAGAAAAACATTGATTGGTTGTCTCAGCCTAGCCTGCACCCTCTCCAATCTGGGACCCCTCGGGGGGATGTCCAATTAATTTCTGACAAAGTTTCCAATATAATTCAATGAAGGAAAAGGATGGTATTGCCATTAAATGTTGCTGGAAAAATTAGAACCATATCCAAAATTACTTTTTCAATCCTACTGCACAATCATATATAGACATCATCTCTACATGGATTTTGGTCCTATACACAGGACTTTGATAAAAAAGCATAGTAAAAAAAATCTTAATAACTTTGGTTAGGCAAATATTTAAAGGGGCAAAATAAGCATGAACCATGAAAGATAAAATTGATACAGAAAAATTATAAATATCTAATTTTTTAAAAATCACACTTGGAAATACTTTTAAAACTGCAGACTGGAAGAAAATATTTGCAAAACATAACTCTTAAAAGATTTTTACCCATGCATATAAAGAACTCTTGCAGCTCAATAATAAGACAAATAATCTGTTAAAAATGGCAAAAAAAAAAGACCTTTTACCAAAGTAAATATATGATCAGCAAATAAGAACATGAATAGATACTCAATATCATTCATCTTCAAGGATATGCAAACACACAATGGAATACCAGCACCCCTCACTAAATGGTTAAAGTAAGACTGGCAATCCCAAGTTCTGATGATGATGTGAAGCAACTAATCCGTTTGCTGGTAAGAATGTAAAAGAAAACATTTTGGAAGATGTTTTAGAACTTTGGAAAATAGTTTAGCAATTTCTTGTAAAATAACTCGGCAATTCTAGCCCTAGAATCTATCCAAGAGAACTGAAAACAAGAATTACACAACAAGACTTGTATGTAAATGTTTGTAGAATCTTGATTCAAAATAGTGCCAAGCTGGACACTAAAATGAACTATGAAAGGATAAACAAGTTTCAGTATGTCCCTTAATGGACACACACTCAGCCATCACAATATATCAACTATTGATTCATACAACAAAGTAGATGAATACCCAGAGCATTTTGTGGTGAAATGAAGTGAAAGAAGTCAGATACAAAAGACTACATGCTGTATGATGACATTCATATGACATTCTAAAAAAATACCAAAGGATAAGGACAGATAACGGATCAGTAGTTGCTAGGGCCTGGGGGCGGGGTATGCTTGTAAGTGGGCACAAGGGAACTTTCTAAGATGCTGGAACTATCCTGTATCTTTTTTGTTGTTGTTGTCCTGCATCTTGATTGTGGTGATGGGTACACTTGTCTGCCTTTGTCCACCTTATCAATCTGACATTTCAAAATTTTATTATGTGTGAATTATACCTCAATTAATATGGGGCAAGAATAAAGTCCTCATTCTCAAGGGACTCTCAGACTAGAGAGGGATCCATGATAAGGAAATCATATAGTGATAACCTATGACAGGAGGTCAGTAAGAAGAGAAAAAGCAGAGTACTATGGAAAAAGAGAGGAAAAGCACCAACCCAGATGGTAATCCAGAATTACTTCCTGGAAAAAGTAGATTCTAAGTCATGAGCAATAGGAATTAACCCTGGATAAAGGATGTGGAGAATCCCAGACAG